CCCCCCCCCCCCCCCGTGATGGCTCATTAATGTGGTGCTTTTGCTCTAGACTTGTCAGAGAACACTTGTCAGACAAACAGTGAAGGCAATTTCTTTTTCTTTTGCTGTTAAAAAGTTTGAAATTTGTGTTTCCAAGTTAACCCCGTTTAGCAGCTGATTAGAACAGGACAGTATTTGTTAACTGGACACTGGATCACTGGTGTGTTGTGTCTGTCACTAGCTAGAGTTTACCTTGAACCCGAATGCAAACCTAACGTTAAAAAGAGACTTCTTGTAGCTTTAAAACTGAGTCCGGTCTCCTGCGTGAAAGTCCGGTGATTTAAAGGTCCTCCCATCGAACCCCGACCTCCTCACTGCCTGACTTTATCGCTCCTTAGACTGCGACACCTGTCCCGGCTCACCAGTACGTGGATTACATTCAATCTGATCATGTGGGTTATGTACGATTTATAATGGATTACTTTTCGTTGGTGTTCTGACGAACAGTGTACGAGAACAGCATGTTCAGTTAAATGCACCGTAAAACCATAGCAAACAAAAAAAATGACAAAAACACACACACACTGTAGAGTCCCAAATGTTCTGCAGGTTTTTCACTGTTGGCAGCTTCTTCCTTTTACATTACATGTTATTTTAAAGAGTGTAGTTTCTCAAAATTCTCAATTCATGGCTTTAACATTAATAATAAAGAAATACTTCAACATTTTGGGAAATATGCTTGCTGATAACAAATGGATCTTTTGAGCTTTATAGGTGCTTATAGGTACATTTTGTTTTAGCTTTTAACAGAGTCCGGCTGGCTGTTTTTTCTTTATGCTAAGCTAACCTAACACCCTGCTGGCTGTATAGCTTCATCTTCCGCTTACAGCCATGAGAGTTGTATCGACCTCATCTAACTCTCGGAGAGAAAGAGAAGATTTTCCAAAATGACACAGCAAAGACCTCAAGTATAGAATTGAGCATTAGCTGTGCTGCGATATTAACATGGGGCGCAGTCAGCAGTGCAAAGCAACATTTGCACATAAATGTGTGGAGCGATAGCCGGACGGCGTGTGTGGGTTGAGTTGTGGGAGGCCTGCTTGAGCACAGACAGTGACAGCACACAGAGGACTGACGTAACATGTAATTAGAGCTCGCTGCTCTGGAGCCAGTGAAGTGAAATGTGGTTGTTTTTTTTATAAGAGCTACTGAAAAAAGACTTCTGTCAGTCTCTCCAATTATTGTTTATTTCACTTTTAACTTGTCGTCACCATTTTTGCAAAAAAACACGTTTTGTGAAAACGTTCACTGCCTGACATCAAGTTGTTTTCTCTGCTAGCTAAGACTTTGAACAAAATTAATTAAGTCACGCTCCCACAGAACATGTTGGCGGGCAAATTCAGAAAAGAATGCGTGTGTACGATTGTTACAACTAATTAATTTCATCACGAAAACGAAGCTTTTCTAAATTGAATCACTCTTGAGTAACTTTTGATTTAACTTCCAATAGTAATTGTTGAGCAAAATCCTAAACTAACCTTTGTGTTTTGTACAAACATCCCTCGCATTCCTGTTTTTTTCTTTTTTTTTTCTCCGGTAGCCATGATAGCCTTGCTTTTGTGTGGTAATCCATGTTGCATATATTCCTTTTGCTCGACTCTGAAGACACTGAAGACGAAAAAACACAAGTGTTATATAAAAACGGGCTTATCTTGGTCTGCCAGCTTAGTTCCCTGTAAGCCTCCAAGCATGGAGAATAAGAAGAGAGAAGTGGATCGCTGAGGATTCTCTCCTGGTCTCTCTCTCTCGTGGCCTCGCTGACAGCTGGAATAAAGTCTTAAAGCCACGGCGACACTCGTCGTTCCAACGCGATTCCTGCAGATTTAGCCGCAACCATTTGATGTCGTGCGAACGCGTCGATGCATGTCCACGCCACGTCTGTCAGTGTGTGATATGAGCTCAGCTCGTAGTAGCAGGCTTCTATCGCTGCGTTTTTTATTTTCCAATTTGCTTCCAAGTGTTCAAAAAAAATATTCCTGATAATGTCTTTCTTTGTGTCCTAAATGTTTACATTGACTTTTGTTTTAATTTGTTCTCAGGCATTCAATATGGTGGACATTAAAGAATAATAATGTCCAATACATTTTTTATTCCAGAGAGTAGCTACCTGTTAATCCTACTGGCTAAACTGAATTTAAAAATGAAACTGAATTGAAAAATGAACTTGTCAGTGTCTCTTGTCGGCAAACTTGGTGACGCCGTTTCAGCTCCAGCAGCAACACGCTTAAGCCAACATGTCTTACCGAACAAAGAAAAAAGGAAGTGGAAAGTGGAGGAATGGAAATAACATTTAAGCAGATTTCTTTCGGTGATTGTTCCTTTAACAAGAATCATTAACCCTCATTGCTTTCTCTCACGTTCTCACTTGCTCCAGGTGCCTGTCCTGCGTCAACGGGAACTTCCCCTGCCACTGGTGCAAATATCGCCACATGTGCACGCAGGACGCCAGCGACTGCTCCTTCCAGGAGGGACGAGTCAACACCTCGGAGGTGAGGGTGCACGCAAACACACACGAGCACCGACGTGCTCGCACAAACACTCCACACCCAGAGACTAAGAAGCGCCGACATACGAAGCAAGCACGGAACAGTGCCAAGGGTGCAGCTGGGACCTGCGCACCATCTGAGTGTGTGTACATGTGTGTGCGTGTGTGTGTGTGTGTGTGTGAATGAGTGCTGCTGTGAGTGGCCCAGCGGCAGCTGTTGTACTCCAAGCAGCGCTGGATTTATTCGCTTATAAACAGGTCGGGGTGAATGAGTATGCAAATGGAGGCGCACTCCACCGTCCCCAATGTTTCATCTGCAGGAAAAAAACCCTCATCTGTCCAGGAGCCGAGTCATTTCCGATTCTCACCGTCTCTCACGCAAACGCAGATACTCCCGCTGACAATCACAAGTGAACTTCTGTGTCGTCAGGAAGTCGCACTTAAACACCTGACTACCTTCCCCTCAGCTTTGCCTCTATTCCAGGCAGAATAAACTCGAACTCAAGCTGTCAGAAGTTCTCCTCTCTCTCTCCTTCTTGTTTATATGTAGATGTATGTGTCCCTGTGGTTGTATGGCTATTTGGATGGATAATTTGGCATATGAAAAGACATAGATATTATTCAATATAGTAACATATGACCATTGCCGTTAAGGGTCCATTCACCACCTTTTTATGAGGATGTCCAATCAGTGTTAGTAAACGTAGTCCACTGACCCACCTACATTTAAAATGCCTACATTTCTAGGCAGGGCCCACATGTTCCATGGTGCATTGCGCCCGAGCTTCCGACGCCCTGAGGGTCCCCTTCAGCCATATCCTCTTGCGCGGCCAATGCAGCCTCGGCCTCTCTCCTCTACATTGCTTCGGCCGTATACTCTGCCTCAAATAAAAATACGAATGTATCCTCGTCCATATTGTGGGACGCCATTTTCATTGTCAGAAACGAACCTATTTGCAATGCAAGCAGAGAGCCAGTAGTTCTTCCCCGCATCCGACTCCGTCACTGTCACCTCAAAGACATCGCTTGTATGATGGGTATCTATCAAATATGACAAGGGAGTGAGGTAAATGTATTGTGATGTCTGTGAAAGTGTGCTAATCGGGCAGCAATCTCAGGGCATTGTGTATGTGTGTGTGTGTGTGTGTGTGTGTGTGTGTGTGTGTGTGTGTGTGTGAGAGGCTAACATCTATCCTCATCTTGTTTGGAGAAACACACCAATTCAGCCTTTTTTGTTATTTCCTATTTTGCCTTCTGATGTACTCTGTCTTTTTTGGTGCAGGCGTCGCCATGGTTACCAAGACATTATAAATGTCGGGGGGGTGGGGGGGGGGGATGTTTTGCTGAATTTTGATCGACACACACACACTCACACATATACCAGTGCCATCACCGCATCCTTACACAGACTATTGTGCAGAGGCTCTCGTGACGGATGCTCGTGTGTGAGATGGTTCTCTCCGTCATGGCACAGGTAGAACATTGTGAAGCAATGCATATGCACTCTTGAGCCAACAGCGGTAGTTTTGTCATCACACATTTATCTCCTCATAGCCTCGGTTTTGTTCCAATTTGCCAGTTCGTAGCCCCTGCCGAAAGCAATATCGCCCATCTCCGCCGCCTGAAAAAGTTCCCCCCTGTGTCATTAGCAGTAGGTTGCCACAGTGATTGAATTCACACTAGACTGGTTATCTTCCCAGAGGCATTTGTCATATTTCTTCACTTCATATCTGATACAAACCCGTAGCATCTGTGAATCCGTGCCACATCACAAAAAAATACACATTTTTTTCTTCTTCATCCTGTGTGTAAACTAAAAAAGAAAAAACGCTAATGCACGTTTTTTTTTTTTTTTTCCCCCTCTTGAAGTGAATTTAATCCTTTGATGTCACTTCCTGGATATGTAAATATGTATATAAATCAGCTGTGTTGTGACAGCGGATAAACAGAGAGGCACATTAGGGGCGACCAGGCAGAAAATTGCCAGACTCGGAGAAACACTTGAGAAGGCCATGAACGGAAATGTGTATGAACTCGAACAAAAGACAGAAACAAACACCGGGACAAACAAACACGGAGACAAACAAATTTGCTCCGCTCCGACGAATCCCAGCGTTGGGCTGGTGGAGCCGACTGGGCCGACGCACGGCCCGCGGGCTGGTTCAAATGACTTCATCCAGATTCAGGGAAATGGGAAAAATAAGACAATAATAAAAAAGCAACAGAAATAGTCATAGAAAAAGAAAAGAGGTTTGTTTGCATTTATTTTTCTGTCTACAAGCCTGCATGATCATTCATTCGCTGATTGCCGTTCGCCCGCTTGTTAATTAAGTCGTTCATTCATCGTGCGTGGTGGCGCTTCTCACTCACAAATGAGTTATTGCCGTACGTGACTGACAGCAGAGACCCAAAATGGCTGCCAAGTAACAACCCCAGATGGGGGCTTTGACCGGAAGTGACTGCTACAACTTCATTAGTCCTCACCTGAGCTGCTGGTTATTGCCTTCACATATTGTTGACATAACTACGAGAAGCGCACACACTTGAAGTCAATTGAACCGCAGGTCTATTTAGTTGTAAACTAATAATTTCAAAAGTTGAATTGCTTGCAGGTAACCCAGCCATCTGAAGCTCAGTCTTAAAGTCAATATTGCATGTGTTTTAAGAATGAGGTAGTCACGGCATGAAGCTGGATGAACCCCCCCCCCCTTCACTCACTCATTTCACTGAGACTACTGAGTGAGCACAGTGGTCCTGATGCTGAGGAGCTCAGGAACACACCACAGCGTCGTCTGGCACAATTTGTTTTGCCCACAACACAATGCAATTTCATCCGGCGAAACCCGCCCGCGTGTCAGATTCGTGCAAGCGCACGCGACTGGTAGATTACTTTGCGACGTGAATGATGTATTCCCGCTGTGTCCTGTGCGCGTGTTTGCTTCGCTCTGATGTATTCATCGAGACTTGAGTGAAGTCACCCGAGTCCATCAGAAGAAGTGCACATTACGAGCCCGCGCTTGTTCCGCATCTGCCGTTCTGAAGCAGTTTATTTAACCATCGAGGCACTGACCTTTTCAATATGTGAAGCTGCAACTCATCAGCTCTGCGATCTTCTTTTTTTTTCTCTGCTCCCTTACCTAATTTCCTTCTTTCCTTACCTCCCTTCCTCCTCTTCTCAGTCCTCCTCCCTTTCCTTCCCCCTTTCCCCCCATTCATCCCTTATCTCGTGTTCCTCCCCTTCCTCCTCTTTTCCACTCTCCCCCCCTCTTCCCAGAAGCCTGACCTCCTTACGCTCTGTGCAGTACAGTAGGTCCATGATGCATTGCTGCTGCTGCACAGGGGATTGAACCGGCGGCTTTGCAGCCTAGCCTCATTGATAATCATTAGCAGGCTAAGTTGGGCTCCGGATGAACAGAAGGTGAATATAGATATGGGGCATCAGTGTTAGCCTTTCGCGCCGCTAATTAGCGGCTGAATCACCGTGATGGGTGAGTTGCTTAGATAGCCGTATCTTTCTGTCAAGTCACCGCGCTGCTGCAAGAATGCACTTGTGCTCCCGAGGTATCGCCGCTCACAGCGAGCCAAGCGCACCTTCGCCAGCCAGCCGTCTCCTGTCTGATCCCTAACCCAGTGAGCTCTCTCCTCTTGTTCGCCCACTCCCTCATTCCTTCAACAAGTCAATTAGCTGGAGCCTGACAACCCTCTCTCTTTGTCTCTCAGCTAAGGGTGTCACAGTTACATCTGTCTTTCCGTTGCCGCCGGATCACAGGCTGCTATGCGGCTCCGAGTTGCCCGGCTCCGAGGCTCCGGGGCCGGGGCTGGCACGGAGCAAGCTTCCCTTCTCCCTCTGGGTCTCTCTGGCTGAGGGGGGAGGGGGGGGGGGGGGGGGGGGGGCAAGGCTGCCTTTCACTGATCGACACAGCTGTGTATGTGAGTTGGTGTGTGTTTGTGCGCACACGTGTGTGTGTGTGTGTGTGTGTGTGTTAATTATTCAAAGTGTATTAAAGCTTAAAGATGCATCTCCAGATGCCTCTCTGATCGCTGCCGTGTTTAATGGAGAGAGACAGATGAGATGAGAAGGGAGAGGTGGGAGCATCCCCAGTAAAACACAAGGGGAGGAGTGTGGCAGTGGCCTAGTTGTTAAGAGGAGAAGCAAGCTCGCTAATACAACCAGGGGCCTCATTTATGAAACTACAGCATGTGCACACTGCACTTAAAAGAAAAGATAAAATGCCGTCTGCGTTCAACAGTCCACTTTCTATTATGCGGGTTTCGCCTTAACACATTTTTTAGCCAGACTGTAATTTTGCACATCTGACCCTTTCAGATCCACCGTTGCCTCTGAAAGATGCTTCAGAATAACCCGAAAGCTTAAGTTTAATAAACAGAATGTAAATGAAGAGATCCCTGGCTTGTTGTGTTATTAACTGTTCTCTTGCTCCGGAGCAAGGCCAGGGGTCACCACACAATGCCTCTAATTAAGCTTGCGTCTGGCAGCTCATTTTTAATTGTCTCATTATTCTAGAAAGGCGGCAGATCGGACTGCGCATTTGTCCAAATGGCCAATTTGTCAACCAGGTTCATATGGATTGAACGTGCTTCTTTTTCTTTCAGTTGGCGTACTTAAATGAGACTTGGGAGGGGAAATATTTTTTAAAAGTGTGACAGTAGAGATGATGGGGGATAGAGGAGGGCTGAGGAAGACGACTGATGAAGGAAAGGGGAGGAAGATGAAGGCCGATAAGGATAAGAGAAAGACATCAGAGTTGGATGGAGCGACATTACCAGAAGGAGAGCGAGAGAGAGCGAGTGAGTGGATGAAAGAAGGAGTGGGAGGAGGACGCGGGAGATGCTTAACCATTCAGGAGATGAAAGGATACTTGAGGGGTCGTAACACTGCCCGTGCCTCGTGTCTACTCAGCGATTCCATGTCATTTGGTTCGCGCTATCTGCCCTACTTTCCGTCTTCGCTGGAAGCTCAGCAGATGTTTCATTGCGCGGTGT